AATGAGTAAGCCAAATATTATTTATTACATTTTATACACATACAACAATTCAATAAATATAAGTGAAAATAATTAATTAAAAATAATTACATAATATTAAATAATTACAATAATTAAATATAGATATTTGGTACATGATGATGCAGTAGTGGTAACTGGACGTGTAGATACTCCAGTGGATCCGGGACCTCGGTAGGACTCACGGGATCAATGAGAGGGGGAGGACGAGTAGATACTCTAGCGGAGACGGGACCTCCGCGAGGGGGCATGGGATCAATGTAGGGGGGAGACGCCTGAGCGGGACGGGGGGGACGAGGCCAACTACCGGTGGATATACCCTGTGGGAATTGACCCGGATGCGGGAAAGAGGGACTATGATATGGACTGCGCCACTCACCACTCATAGGAGAAAGGATAGGGGTAGGGGCGGAGGGTAAACCGTGAGGACCAGGCCGGGGACAACTGGAGTACCGGGGAGGAGGGTAACTACTAAGATTGTGCATAGGCGTATCTCTGTGATGTGCACCCATCCTAACACTGTCCTGCACATCATCCTCATCAAACTCATTCTCCTCATCCTCCTCGTCCTCATCGCCCTCTTCCAGGTCGTCCTGAGAATACTCGGGTACATAAATCGGCTGACTATACCGAGTCTGAAACAGTACACCACCCATAGTGACCTGAGTCATTTTCATTCGCTTCTTTTTCTCTTTTTCCTTTTTTTTCTTCCGACGACTCATGGTCAGATAACGCGCACGAACCTTACGCTTACTAGTTTCTTCAGTATCACTAGTATCACTATCATCATCATCATTACAATAAATCTATAAACAAAATTTTATTCATCGTCATCATATTTTCATAGTCTAAACAAATAATTATACACATTTCCTAAATCCTAAATAGTTTAATAATTAAGTACACTTTGATTAAACGTACAATTCATATAATAATTAAGTAAACTAAAGTACTTTGTCCAGTTTTAATTAAATTACTGATAATTATAATTAATTAAAAATACTCAACTATTTTACAAAATATTTATATTAATTTAATTAATCATAAACTACACTACACACAATTTAGATTAGCTTTACTAATCTACTACTATTACTTAAATTAAATAATTTAATCAATTAAACTAATTAGGTAGTGAACTAATCTACTATTAATTAAATTAGTTTTTAAAATTAAACTAATTTACATACTATTTAAATTAATTTAATCAATTAAAATGAGTAACTTTTAGTAATCTACTAATAATTAAATTAAAAATATAACCTAAATACTTTAATAACTATTTAAATTAATGAGTAAATCAATTAAACTAATTAGGTAGTGAACTAATCTACTATTAATTAAATTAGTTTGTAAAATTCAACTAATTTACATACTATTTAAATTAATTTAATCAATTAAAATAAGTAACTTTACTAATCTACTAATAATTAAATTAAAAATATAATCTAAATACTTTAATAACTATTTAAATTAATGAGTAAATCAATTAAACTAATTAGGTAATGAACTAATCTACTATTAATTAAATTATTTTTTAAAATTCAACTAATTTACATACTATTTAAATTAATTTAATCAATTAAAATGATTAACTTTACTGATCTACTAATAATTAAATTAAAAATATAACCTAAAGACTTTAATAACTATTTAAATTAATGAGTAAATCAATCAAACTAATTAGGTAATGAACTAATCTACTATTAATCAAATTAAATTATTTACACAATTAAACTAAATAACCAATTAATAGAGAACCTCAATCTAAATCACAAACTATTAATTAATAAATAACTACTTAATAACCCTAATTATATTAAATTAAACATAATTAAGCACTAATAATGAATTAAACAAATTTAAAAAAATTAAAAAAACAACATTCTGGCCGCCGGACGACCAGAAAAGCCAGAAACGCGCAAGACAGGGACGCGTTTTTTGCGCGTCCCGGTCGCGCCGCCGGACGGCTTCATTGTGCGTCCGGCGGCCAGAATCCATTATTTTTTCCCTACAATTCACAAATTTTTTTAAAAAAAAACGTACCCGTGATGAGATCGGCTCTTTCCCGCTTTGATTCTTCCGTGTTGCCATCAATGGTGGATCAAATTAGACTTCAAATTTGGGTTTAGAAGGGAGGTGGCTTCAAGTTTTCTCTCTTTTTTCCTTTGGTGAAAGTTTGAAATGTGAGGGGCAAAATAGTCCAAAAATATTTACGGTGGCTTTAAGTAGTAAAGATGGTGGCTTCAAAAACTAACACCCTAAAAAAACCCCAAGAAACCCCTAAACCACCATCCATCATCTCTAATCCAGAATTATCATCTCATCATCACCACCACCCAACTTCACCTGACCACCTTTCCACGTTAAAAAGCCCCCCACGCCAAAGCCTTTTCCATCATCACCGCCCTACACAATCCCACACCCACGCTCATCATCTCAAGCATCCATCACGGACGTCTCACGCACATCACCATCATCATCTAGCAAGGAAACAAGCAAGCAGCAATTCACCATCTTCTCCAAATTCGGTGCCATCACCGATTCACCGTCGCCGTCATCAATCAAAACCACGTCAACACTTGTTCTTCATCATCACAAATTTTATGGTTTGATAGAGAGGGAAAGCTTCCCAGAGAAGTTTAGGTGATCATATCAATTTGAAATCATGATTATCTTTTGTTTACTTATCTAAATATTTTCTATATAATATCTATTTTAAATTTTAGATTTTACGTGAAAGAAAATTAATATAGGGCAATAACATTTATATTAGGGAACTATTCCGGATGGGCCAAATGGCCAATTTGGCAAATAAATTTTTTTTTCAAAAATAGGGTTTCCTTATTTTTTTTTTATATATATTCAGCGGCCACTGCTAATGTCAAATATGACTCCTCCTTTTTTTACCGCGCCGCGATTACGTTCCAAAAATTATCTTCTACAGATCATCACCACCGTATAAACCTTGTATTTCGTAACCTACTCGCTCACTTCTATCCATTTTCAGGGAGGAGGAGTTCATACCAGCAATCCGAATTAGCTTCGTATGCCAAAAAAGAAGAGTATAGAATACACAAATAAGAGAGAACATATCATGCCGGAGATGGAACAATCGGATTCATCATCTACACCGGAAGAATACAGTCAGCTGTTGATTTTTTTTCCGGCAACGAAGTGAAGGATGAGCCGGCAATTTCGAAGATACAGTCAGTCGTTCATCATTTACATCCAACGTTTGGAATTACACTTGACAAAATTTTGCCAGAGTTGTGGCGATGAAGTAAAATATGTAAGCAGCAGGTCCGAAGATTTTTGTGACCAGAGAATTTTTGCCGGTCAAATTGATGATTCGGAGATCGTCGACCTCAAAATCTAATTCACGGAAGTTATTTTTTTAGAAAATTTACCATTTGAGTGTGTTTAAATTAACCATATAACTTGGATAAAATACCAGTAAAAAAAATCAGCCAATTAGAAGGTGACATGTAGGCTACATAAAATTCTCTACAATTAAGAAGATGGCGCGTGTAATTGAAAATTATCGATAATCTAATTGACTTACATGTGTCTTGTGAAAAAAATTTGCTTAATATATAGTAAGATTACACGGTAGCATGCATATGCTATATCTTCTTCTAATTGTGCACATTTAGTGACATAACATCACGAAAGTCTCCCATAATATCTTTGCTAACCTATACAAAAAAAAAAAAAAACAACATAGATTAATCAATCAAGTAAATTGACTTCATGACTGAAAAATTTTCTAGTCAATAGAGGAGTATTAATTATTTTTGGTTTTAATAAAAATAAGTGACATATATTCCTCTTGAGGGCTTCCTCGTTAGTTCCCTTATTCAAAGGTTTGACAAACACCAGTTTCCAAGTTAACTCTACAAACTGGTTTCTTCAACATTTTCTCCCCAACTTCGGCAAGATTATGCAGATTTTCTTCAGTTGCAATAACCACCGAACATATAAATCTCCAGTCAACGTATCATCCTGATACAATAGCATATATATGAGTTTTTATCAAAAAAAAAAAGCCCAGAAATAGGAGAAGAGAGAAATATAGGTCGAATTTTGGAGAAGAGAAATATACCGACATTGGATTCTTAAAATCCGAGTTTTAAGGTAAATCGGATTCTCAAAATCCGACCTGCCCTTAATACGAAAAATTAATTACAGTAATCAAGATTAAGAGAAGACCGGATTTTCAAAATCCGACCTTGTCATATTAAAATATAATATTTTGAAGAAAAACACTTAGTTTTTTTTTTTTTTGAAATTGAAATTTTGACCAAGGTCGGATTTTAGAAATCCGATTTTAAGTGAAGGTCGGATTTCTGAAATCCGGGTAAGGTAAGTTCGGATTCTCAAAATCCGATGTCATAGTAAAACAGAGAAAAGTCAAATTTGTGAAATCCGACCTTGGACAGAAACTTAGAAAAAAATAAAGGATTGGTTTCTAAACCAATCCTAACCTATCACAACAGCACCAAAACCAAATTTCATGCATAAAATTACCTATAAACACATTGGAAACACATCGTAACAAACATTAACAAATTCAAAAGCATTCAAATTCCAAAATCATCCAAATTACAACTAATAAACATTAAAGAGTTTAAAATCATAAAAAACATCCAAATAACTCCTAATACACATCAAAGAGTCCTACAATTGAATTACTTGGACGACCCTTTCTTCCCTCTAGCCCCGGAGCCAGGAGTACATTTCTCGGCCGGTTTACTAACCCTATTACTCTTGCGAACCTCGACCGTGTTCTTTTTCTTTTGGGAAGAAACACGAGGTAGAGGGGACTCTTCTTCTTCTTCTTCTTCTTCTTTTTCTTCTTCTTCTTCTTCTTCTCCTTTGCCCCTAATGAAGTAATCCTCATCACTTTCATTACCTTCATGATCTTCTTGCATCGGAGTTGGATTGGGATGAACTATGATTGTTCGATCTGAAATTCCCTGTCACTTTCTCCTTCCTCCTCCAGTAGGCTTTGATGTTGTTTTCTGCGTGAGCACAACAGGTTGACTTGACTCCGGTGGTCTTTTCTGAAGAACCTTAGTATCGTTCTGAGTGCTCATATCACGTGGGCCCAAAGACAGGACAATGAAACTCTTGTCGAAGATTTGCAAGAGTTTATCCACTAGACTAACACCAAAGCCAGGATTTTCCTGTAAGGCTGCATCAGCGAGATGATATACGTCGCTGAGATTTGAAGACTGCAGAAAATTGAAACATGTTAATAAAGTATCAGATATAGCGAGAATTAAAAAATAGAAAAATTTTAAAATAAAATATCGACATCTATCTTACATAAAATCTCTCCAGAGATGAAGACGAGTGATAACCCTGTGCCAGAGGGCCATATTGAGTGGGATCAGCCATAAATCTAATAGTCTTCTTTTGAAACCATGGCATGTAGCCTGTTGTGCACTGAGGACCAAGTTCCGGATCAACCAATTCATGAGGGACCACGTGCTTATCTCACATTCCAATGAGGTCGTACCTCGGTGTGTTTTTGCACCCAATCATCATATGCCTTTCCAGTCCCAAGGAATCCATGGTGTATCGCATTCCAGCGATCAATGTCATTGATTAACGGGTACTCTGGCACAGTTTGCTTACACTGAAATTGACAAAGGACCCGATTGGACTCGTATGGTTCTCTGATGGCCCAACAAAATATCCACGTCCTACAGAGGTAGATATGAACCCCCGCTTTACAGAAATCAGGGAGAGCGTCGATGAAGGGAGTGTATGGAGTCTATAGAAACTGGCCAAAATTAAAAAATTGGTAAAAAAATAGAGAAAAAAATAAAAAAGAATTTTATCGACTAATAAAAATCAATACTTACATCATCATCCCTTAAGCTAGATAACTGGTCCCTAATGCCAGCAACACAATGAGCGGCGATGTTCGTTTTGGTTTTTGGGCATTTCCACCTATGAAGGAAATGAATTCTAGTTAAAAAATCATTGTTTTGAGACATAATAGGAAATAAAAAATAATGAAATAAATCTATAGTTACCTATTGTCTAGTGGAGCGTCCGGCACCAAGTAACTCTGATCTTTAACTTTCCTCTTTGGTTGAAGTCTTGGGATGTGCTCCCAAACCTATAACTGAAATTTTAAATCAAACAGAAAAGGCACAAATTAGAATAAAAAACAAAATATAATAAAAAATACAAATAAACAAACAAACAAAAAAATTTACCTGCATCAGCATATAGCATCCGGTAATGTCTTTCTTCCCGGGAGCGGAAGCTTGACACAAACCAAAGTACAACTTCACCAACAAAGCTGACCCCCAACTGTAGGTAGCACAGAAATCCAAATCCTCTAGTATTGTCAGGATCCAAAGCGGTATTCTGTTTTCAGTATTGTTAGGAATCAAGAAATCTCCAATCAGTAGTAAAAGTAAGGCATGGGCCCTCTTTGTATAGGTCTCTCTTGGAGCATTTTCTGGGATCGAAAGTTTACACTCGTTGATTAAACACTCTGCATAAATCTTATTCCCATCAAGGAAATTACTAACGGGTGTAATTCCCAATAATCTAAAGCACATCGCCATCCACTGTGCCATAAAATTCTCAGGTGTCATCCCCTCCACAGACTCACCATCCACTTTCAAACCTAATAACACCTCAACGTCTTCTAGAGTGATAGTGGCCTCGCCAAAATGAAAATGAAAGGTATGGGTTTCAGGCCGCCACCTCTCAACCATTGCGGTGATCAAACAATTGTCCGCTTGGATGTAACCTAGTTGGATCACCCCCCAAAGCCTGCCTGCTTTATCTCTTCTATAACTTGTGGAGGGCAATGTTTGCTAGGTTTCTCTATAAACGTCCAAAAATGACTATCAAATCTCCTACCTTTAAAGGCTTTACTGAACGCCTCATGGTTCTCGAAAATGACTTTCGCCCTATGATGGTCATAAAGGTATAACAAGGAGTCATCTATTGGAGCCGGATTAAAATGTTGCATTGTAGGTTGCGAGAAGCTCGAACCCTCCATTTTTTAATCCTACAATAATTCACATTACACCATCATCATCATACAACAAAACTACAATCATTCAAGTCTAGGTCACCACCAACAACAACACAAATTATACCACCATCATCATACAACAACAATTTATACAAAACCGAACCACTAAACATGGACCAAAAGTTTTGTGCTCACCGGAGCAACAACACCACAACAACAACAGAGCAACATCATCATCGTTACACAGCAGCAACAACAACAAAAACAGAAAGCAAAAAAAAACTTAGGGTTTAGCCCTATAACACAAAACTCACTCGAAGGTGGACTGGGGAAGTCACCGGGAAGGAGAATTGGATGCCGGGAGGAAGAAGTCGTCGGAAGGAGGAGGAACTCGTCGGCAGGGAGAAGTCGCCGGAAAGGAGAAGAACCAGGACGCTTGATTTTCTGTCTCCGGTGGAGGAGGAACACGCCGAGAAGGAAGGGAAGGTCGCGGTTGGACGCCGGGAGGAAGAAGTCGCCGGGTTAGGTTTCGCCGGTGGGGGGTTTCGCCGGGTTAGGTTTCACCGAGAGGAAGGGTTCGCCAGGTTAGGTTTCATCGATGGGGGGACGCCGGTGCAGAGGAGAGACATCAGGAGGGGGATTCCAGTCCCAGGGAGGGGGAATTCCAGCCGGGAGGGGGAATTCGCCGGTATACGGTGCTGGGTTAGTTTTGGGGAAGAAGGGGGAGTCGATTTTGACTCTCCAAAATTTTGGTCAAACATATATATAGTCCCCAAAAATCGGATTCACAAAATCCAATTATTCAATATAGGGGAAGGTTGGATTTTATAAATCCGACCTGGGACAGAGAGTTTTGGAAATTGGCTTCAAATTATCACCAAAATTTGATAATTGTTGCACCTGCCCTTTTTTAACAAGTACTAATATCAAACACAACAACAATACATTAAACGAACTAATTCATTAAGCATAAACTACAATTCGAAAGAACTAAAACATAAACTACAATTCGAACAAACTAAAGCATAAACTACAATAGTTTTGAGACATAAAACATTGTTTTGAGACATAAACAACAATTCAACCAAACAATCCTAGTCGTTGTGAATACCATCGGCGTTCCAATTGATCTTGAGCTTTGTCCTATCGGATTTCTTGTGTGATTTTGGGCATGCATTGGTGAAATGATTCCTTGAGCCACATCTCAAACATTCACCCCTCGATTTGCGTCCCCTATAATCCATTTACATTTTAAATCTCTTCTTTTGCCAACGATTGGGTCCAGCATGCATAATAACTCGCTCGTAGTTAGGAACGAGTCTCCATCTAACCTTAGGCCATCTTCTCTTATCAGGGACCGGGGTAAAGTCATCGCACCCATTGAATTGGTCTTGCCAAGCAAAAACTCTGAAATATGGATTCACCGTATTGATTGGTTGATCTTTTATCTTCCGACACACGGCTAGTGCATGTGTACAAGGGAACCTATACTCTTGCCACTTCTTGCAAGAACACTTCTTCTCTTCATATTTCACAGTGTACATGTTGTCCCCTTTACCACCAAGTCGAGCTCTACTTTTCACCTTGAACTTGCCATTAATAGCACCATAATGGTTGACTTTGTATTGCGTGGCTTTCTTTTCTTTTTTCTTGAAGTCTTCCCACAAGTCAGTTGGGACCGGCGTAATACATTTCCTCGACTTCACCTATTCGAACAAATCCACAGTCTTAATAAAAGTGGCTTCCACCAAAGCTCGGATCGGCAAGAAACGAATGCCCTTAAGGACGTTTTTGTAACTCTCAGAAATGTTGGTTGTTTGGATACCCCAACGATGGTGTTTGTCTTTGGTAAGAGTCCACTGACAAGCATCAATCTCTGCGAGATACAAATATGCATCATTGCTAAAATCACGTAGCTCTTTCCTTAGTTCTTTGAATTTAGACTTTGAAAGGTTTGTGTCCATCTCCCAACACAACTTTTGATCTTTTTACTTCGAAACCATGCCACCAAGTTACTACGGACGTGACGAAGGCAAAACCGGTGGTATGCATTCCATTCGGGCATTAGGCGTATTGCACTGAGGATACCCTTGTGCCGATCGAATATAGCACACACAGGACGGTCGGATATAACATGATTTCTCAAATGCTTCAAGAAGAATGACCAACTTTCCTCACTCTCTTCATCCACGATCGCATATGCAATTGGCAGGATGCACTTATTCGAAGTTTTGACCATTGCAGCAAGTAATTTCCCTGTGTATCTGCCACCCAAGTGCGTCCCGTCGATACTAATCACCGGAGGACATTTAGCAAAACAATCAATTGCAGGCTTGAATGCCCAAAAAACGTATTTGAACGTCCTCTCTGTATCGGTCTAACCCGGTTGCCATTCCCACTCTACAACTGTGCCGGAGTTGCTCTTCTCTAGGGCGGCGAAAAACCTAAATTAAAACAAATTAATGCTTATTTTAAAAGTAAATTACAAACAAATCAAACAAATTAGATAGGACTTAAGTAAATACCTTGGAAGTATGTCAAAATTGGAAACCTAGTCGCCGTAAACAAGATCAATAGCTTTTCTCCTTTCCTCCCATGCCCTGTGGTAAGGAACATCGACATGTATACGGTCTTTCACTTCTTCCTGAACGAGCTTCACTTCATAATCTGGGTCCAACTCAACCTTATGCCTTATGAGATGAGCAATAAGCATTGCGCTCACATTCCGATTATTATTTTCCTCGGTGACATTCATACAATTATGCTCGGGCACCCATTTCACAATCTCCCACAAACCGTGGTCTCTCAAGGATGCACGTATCTTCCAACGACAAGGAACATAACCCTTAGGGGTTGACTCTTTTAGGGATTTGCACCAAATATACCATGTTGAACCATCACTTTCCTTCACATAAAACTCTCTTTTGCTCTATGTTCCATGCTGCAATACTATTTTTTGCATGTTCCTTATTCTTAAAACAAGTCCTTATCCCGATTGTTGGGGTTGTCCCGTCCCACATGATAAGTTGAAATTCATCCTTGTCCACTTTTGTATGATCTCATATACCCTGTGAACGATATATGTGTCTGTCCTTTGTGGCAAATTTGTCTTCGATCTCTTCATCACTCTCCCGACTTCCTTCGAATATTAATTGGTCTTCATCGCTTTGATCGCTTATCGATGTGTAGTCCTCATCATTTTCTGCGTGATTATCTTCCATATGATCGCCATCCTCCATATTCAGTCCACCCACATCATCATCTTCCATGTAATCGACATTCTCCAAATTCGGCCCACCACTACTTGTCCCTACTTCCAAATGGGACCTAGAAGTACCCGCTACCTCCAAATCCACATACAAATCAATATATGTCGAATTTGGAAGGAAATACAACACTTACAACGATGCGTCTCCTTGATTTTGGCGATACGCCTAAATCATTGCCCATCGTATCATATAAAATCGATAGACTCAAATTCACATTCCCTCTATTCCACCCCGCTCTTTGACAAATCAATCCAACCAAATCATTGTACAATACCTTATGATCAATCAAAAAGGAATCGTCCGGCATGTTGTTAAAAGTATTCACAATCCCATTCTTCACAACAAATTTGCTCGACCAATAGACATTAATGAAATATGGACCGTTAAATGCCATTTATATCTGTTGATTACATGAATTACAACACGTTGTAAACAAATTATTAAAAAAAATACACAAACAATAATCAAACAAATTATTATAACAATTACCACAAACAAGGCATAATTAACACTAAATTTACTAAACCCCCTACAAATTCAAAAGTTTAGGCCAAATTCAAGCATTTTAGTAAATTGAACGTTCAATACCACATATAAAACAACAATCATCAACTACAACCCTAAAACCTTATAAATCATCCTAGTTCTACACTTTTACAAAGAAAACAACAACAATAATCCTAAAAACATCAAAACAATAACTAACCTTGTTAATGGTTTTAAGACATCCGTTGTTGAAGAATCGTGAACAAAATCTTCAAATCGCCACCAAAATCACCTCCTCCTGCAAGAAATTGCCTCCTTCACCAAAATCCCGATATGTGAATAGTGTTTTTCGTCGTCCCATTATAACACAAAAATGTCGGATTTCTGAAATCCGAGTTTATAAGTAAGGTCGGATTTCCAAAATCCGATTTACATATCAACTCGGATTTCAAGAATCCGACCTTCTGCCTGCCAATAACATTCATTCAATGCCAATATCTACTGTTAGGTATTCTTAAATAAGGTCGGATTTTGTAAATCCGACCCTCTACTGTTCTTAATTTTCAAATCTCCCGCCTATATTTATTTTTAAGATAAGGAAGATCGGATTCCTAAAATCCGACCCTTCACTGTTCATTAGTTGACCTTCATTTCATATTTTCACATATATTTTCTGGAAAAAAAATTATTTTAGTCCGATTTACTAATTTAATTAGTGGATCGGATTTTGTAAATCCGATGTCCCTATTTTGCTTTACCAAAAAAAAGAAAATAATCTATCTACTCTTTTTTCTAGTCATTTTTTAAACCAAGGCACCCGCATATATATGGATAATATAAGCAAATATAATTGAATGAAACCACCTTAAAAAAACTTCAAAAAAAAGTCCATCTTTGAACTCTTCAACTTGAATGAAAAGGTAACAATGTGTATATATGTTGCCTTTTCTTTTTTTTTTTTTCCAATCCTGTGAAAATGCAAGTACAAAATGAATAGAAGGGTTTTCTCATGCTTGGATTCTAAGATAATTTTCTTCGGATTGAAGAGTTTGAAAAATGGTGGAAAGGTGAAAATCGATCATATCACAACTTGCTTCCATGAATATATCCACTAAAGAATCGAACCACCACCGGTCAACGAACCCAAAATGCCCCATTTGGCTGCTTGATCTGCGTTGTACTTGGCTTCACCTTGGTCTGTCCCGGTTCCCAGAGATAAGACAATGAACCGGTTATATTCTAATGGATTCATGGAAGAGAAGTCAGAATTTCCTCTGCTTACTTCCTTGGTCACTTCGTTTATAGCCACCAAAGCCTGAAATTACGTAATTATACAATGATGTACTATCATAAAAAACATTACGACACTTAATTTAGAACAGAAAACATATTAGGATTATATAATCTTAAATACCGGGTTATTGGCAGCCACACCACCGTCGATGAGATTAAATTCTCTAAAGGTACCGTCGGAGTTTTGGGTTTCGAAATAATGGGCAGGAAGATAAGTTGGAGCGGCTGAAGTTCCAATGCATATATCTCGAAGGTTGGCATCTAAACTTGGGTGATCATTAATCTAAAACACCAATTGACAGGCGGTTCATTAATTTTCTCGTACGAGGAGTAAAACTAAATATTAAATTATTGTTCAGCTCAAAAGTTCATGTTTAGTATAATTTGAACTAAAAATGAAAAAAAAAGAATAGAGTTAGTGTCATGAATTTGGCTCATTCGTGCATGCCCTAATCTTCAACGTGAATAAAATGTTGATAAGGCTATAAATACTTTAGCATTACCTTTCTTGGGGAAAGATTTTGGGGCAATGTTCAAGGTAGAAATCCTTGACATCTTTGGCAGAAAAGAGAGGCCGATTGTTCTCGTTTGGAGCTGTAAGCATGGCTGTGATTAGACCGCCGGTACTTGTACCGGAAATTACATCAAAATAGTCGGCTAGTCGTGCATCTTCACCATCCAATTTCTATACCAAATTAAATAAATCAATAAGTTTAATTAGATCATAGAATCATACGGGTTATCATTTCTTACTCACTCTCTCTCAAAATTATTGTACAGTGTGAAAACTCAAACTAGACAATAATTTAAGACATAGAGAGTATTTCTTTTCGGGTGTGCTTCTTTATTATGAAAAATTAAGGAAAAAAGTTGATAAATGTGAAATTAAAACCTGAAGCTCAGATTCCAAAAATGCAAGGATGACTCCAGGGATGATTCCTCTAATGCCTCCACCGTCAATGCTCAAAATGGTAATAGACTTTCCAAATGTTGGAGGCTGCAATGTCATTGATCTTGCAGTTCTCATTTCTACGGACTATTTTATGTTATATTCAAACGCAAAAAGCACAATGACTGGAGTGATCAAATGGAATTTACTTTGAATAGTCGCAAATTGTGCTTATTTGATTCAAATGTTAATAAATGAATACGAAATGGTATAAGAACTTTGGGACTTTTGGGAGAGTTTAGGAAACTACGAGTGCTTAATCACTTAAGAAGTTGTGGGTATATATAGAAAATTTTCAAATTTGTTTTTTTGGAAATTGAATTTTAAATTTTGTTAATATTATTTGACTAAACAAACTACTAAACAGACAGGTATGTGATGTTATAATAAACGTTTGTATATGGTATAGTGTAACCACTTCCTCATTGTGTCGAAAAACTAAGAAAATTATTAGTTGAACTCAAAAAATTTTTTAATAATCTAATTAACAACAATTACCTTATATGTAGTATGGAAAAAATGAAAAATTATTATTTGAACTCAGAAAACCGTTGAATAATTAATTAATTAGATTATCCTTATTTTTTTCTCCATTTGATAAATTGACTTTAATCCCTTAGCTTAAATCAAAACTTGTTTGACTTTTCCAAGTTGGACCTATCAATCGGTGACTTGATTTGGATTCAACGGTACGGAAATGAACATTTTCTAAACCCTTGCGGAAATATATTCATGTACGTACATACACGTGTGGGTTTAGGATTGGAAAGAACGTTGTCTTTGAAACCAATATTATCATAAAACATTTATTCGTGCACTCATTAATTTAGCATTAATATATTTAATTGCAAGTATATATTACTCCCTCCGTCTCATAATTATTGTCCACTTTGACAAAAAAATTTGTCCTAAAATTATTGTCCAATTTGACTTTTTATGGATCAAGTTACAGATTTGTCCTTAGTAAAAAATATTATCCATAAAATCTTAGTGGTTAAACAATTACTTATGTAAGGGTATATCCGGTTGTTTAAGGTAAAATATAGTTAAGTTTGACCAAAAATAAAATCTTTCATTTTAGTAAAACTGGACAATAATTATAGGACGGAGGGAGTATTTTTTACTGCAAGGGTCAAAATGATTCATCCGAAAAGAATAACGGTCTTTTGCAATCAGATTCACTGTATATCGTTATGGAAGCAGCTTTTATAATGAGACAAATATGATGAAGTTATGGTTAATTAATTTATCTCGAATGGAAATGAAAAATTAATTAAATTCAGGTCAAACACAATTGAGATTTCTTGATGATGCATGCCACAGTTGCTACTGCTCCCTTTTCAAAAACGTTATTGAACTTCTATTCTATGTTCATTTAGCTCACGCAACGATTGGCTTCAGGTTCCTTGCTATTTGATTAAACCTAGCTGGACAATATAGATAAATAGAGCTTTTAAAATTGGAAGACAATATGGAGCGAAAAGAAATCATCTTACCAAGGTATATTCTTTCTTTTAGTTTATTACTAGGGAGCGGCGCTGCACATTGTGCACGCTGCACGGGAATTGTAGCCCGGAAGTTTGGATCTTAATTTTCTTGTTTGTTTTGAGTAATTGTAAATAAATTTATTAGCGGCCTCTATTACCTGTTTTTTCAACCGGTGGAGTAAATTTATAACCTTTGTTTTTACAGGGAAGATCATTTGGATCCATTGATGACAATCCACAAATGACAAAAAAGAAAACCACGAATTATACTGATCCCATCGACAAAATTACCAACGTACGCCTAATAGGCAAGAGTCCAGGACTTGGACTCCAGTATGATAACCTTTAGTATAGGAGATTGGACTGGATATTTATGTCTTTTTGTGCGTTCGACGGATTTTTTGTAAGTTATGTAGAATAACTAAATACAAAATTAAATTAATTATGTTTGTTATGTTTATTATGTAAGGAAATTAAATGTATGCTTAATTTTAATAAATAAATATGGCTTATTAATTACATTAACATATATTAATTAAAGTACCAGAAAATTAAATTTATTAAGTGTGGTAGCGGAGTTTGACCAAGTGAATGGCCGGTTGGGTAAATATGTAAAGGAAGTATTAATAAATTGTGGAAGTATAATACATTAATATGAAATTTACAATCTCTAATAAATTATGATGAAATGTTAAATATGCACTGAAAATCGAAATTCATTCTAAAGGTACTTAAAATAACAATACACATTGACATTAAACACCAACCATTTTCAATTTATATTAGTAATATTTTTATTTTAACAATGTCGGTATTCATCATTATGTATTAAAAATGTAGTACTCCCTCCGTCCTAAGAACATAGTCCACATAGAGTTTTGGAGTTTGTACTGGTTTTACTAAAATTTTGTAAACTAAATGTGGACAAATTTTTTGGGAAGGAGATAGTATCTTTTAGGGAAATTAAATAAATAAATATTACTATAGAGATGTCGTATAAAGCACTAATTATATTGGACGGAGTGAGTACAAATTTTAACATTGTATAAGCATTATAATTTTTGGGGAAGGTATATTATCAAGATGTAAATCGAAATTATCAACAAATCCGATCCCCCTCTTCAAAAAAAAAAAAATCATGTTACAAATTAGATCCCATCGACAAAATGACCAAATTACCCCTAAAGGCAGGAGTCCAGGACTTGGACTCCAATATGATTACCTTTAGTATAGGAGAATGGAATGGATATTTATGTCTTTTTGGTCGGTCGACTGATTTTTGTGAAGTTATATAGAATAACCAAATACAAAATTAAATTCATTAAGTTGGAGGTGTTAATTTTAATCTCTAGAATTTAAAGGTATGCTCAATTAAAGTGCATTATATTTAGGGGAGAAAAAAAAAGTTGTTCAAACATTCATAAAATATATAACACCCGAATTAATACATCCCAATCACATGTTTCTTTGATTTGTGCCAAATAATTATTGCCTACTTTTTTCACTTCCTGCACAAAACTGAAAAAATGAAAAAATTCCCACCCAAAAGTAATGGCCAAAAAAGTGGATGAAAAAAGGAAAAAAACAAGGCCTAAATAATTTCTACTATTTTTTCAAGTCTTTTTATGGAGGTGACGGAAAAAAATAATATAAGTTAATTTGAAAATAAAAAAGAAATATTAATGTACATTAGTTTTGCCAAGTGATAACAAGCTAAAATCATCAATATATACATACATAATACTGTAAATGTCATACCAATCTAACTATTTATGGGCCTTTTCATTGACTGGCAAAAGAATCAGAGCTTTAGGTGTCGCAGTAGCTCTGTACATGCTATTAGTAAACAAAATGCATGTATATCTGAAACTTGAATTTCTATAGACAAAAAAGTCAAAGGCTCATAAATAGTAACGATAGTATATATAGTAACATACCAACCAGAGTGTTAAATGATAACACGTTGATAATTAATCTTGTTTGATATGTTTTGTATACGATGGACTGTCAGTTGACTGAAGCATTCTTTTGGCAGGAGTTGTTCTTGCTTCTTCTTGCTTTGATGTGGTTGCCTCATCTTCTGGTGATGGAGTGTCTATTGACATTTTGCTGGCTGTGTCTGATGCTGCACATTCTTTTTCAGAGTCTAATCTGGCAGAAGATGAATGGAGTATTAGTAGGGAAGCAACGATATTATATCGTGGATAAGAGGAATCCCTGACTCTTTTGTTGGTTCGCAGATAGAAGAATTGTTGGACGTCTTCGAATTTTTGATTTAGATCAGGTATATTGATCCTGTTTTCTTGTATTGTTGGAAGTTAATATATGTACAAGATGAAGGAAAAAATAGAACGTTACTTTGTACTGAATACCGTTTGTTGAAGTTGAATGATATCGGCTTTTGACATTTTTAACAGTGCTTCAGCTTCATTTTCTTCAATTGTAGCGTGAAGACAACCAGTGTTATCTGTCAGGTGGAGTTCAAATCTGAGTCTGCACATAAGATTATAATGATCATGTTCTGTATTTGTTAAAAAATAAATAAGGAGGGACAATATAGTTGCAGGTTTAAAAGTTACAAAAAAGTTCTGTTAACTTACGCTGAATTTGGGTTTGGATAATTCGTGTTGCAGTAGAAACAGGTGAATTCACCTGGCTCAGAGAGGCCACAAGTTCTTGAACAACCAGGATAGCTGAAGGCGTAAGGATGCTGATCAAATTTGGCAATTTTTGCTCTAGCTTTTAGCCAAAACGATTTTAACTCTACTGATGACTGTAAATACGTATCTGAAAATTGTCAGCTTGTTTCTTTTTATTTTACGGGAAAAATCAGTGTGTGTGAAAAGTAAGAACATGATATTACCTGTTGAGTCAAATTTTTCACCTGGCTAATTGTTCGAATCTGAGAATCAGTTGGTGACTCTAAAATCCGACGTGGTTTTTCATTGATGTAGTCGGCAATGATGTCTTCGATGATACATGTTCAGTGTTCGTTCACAAATCTGGATTCAAGTCGAATAGGTTTCTTTCATGAGATAAAATTCTCTCATCAAATATTTTATCACGGCTGCTTAGACATTCTGTTAACTCTTACATACCTTTTCTAAACCAACTGCCTGTATTTTGAGGCGGATAAATATATTAACTTGCTCACCATGAAGCATATGTTGAAAATTTATGGTAACTATAGGTTCAGGCTGAAAATGCAAGTTACATCCCGTTAAGGTTCCTTCCAGAAGCAATTTGTCGATCTACATGGACAATTGTTGTGAAGCTTTATCCGTATGCTTCCGGTCAACTTGTCGATTTTACTGAATTAGAGGAGAGATCTATAAACACATACGTGAGAAATATCGTCTAACAACTTTCCAATGGTATATGTTGGAGTTATTTTCAATATATTGTAGGGCCACAATTAATATGTTATGCCTATTGGGTGTTTTCAATATATTATAAAGACACAACTAATAGGTTGTGCCTATGAACTCCATATGAAAAGACATTAACGAAAAGTTATGTCTAAGACCATAACCAAGGGTTATGTCTAATCCTCAAGAGTTTCCTCTAACTCTATAAATATGGATCATTTAG